TTTTTTTTTTTGAGACAGAGTCTCACTGTGTTGCCCGGGCTAGAGTACCGTGGCATCATCCTAGCTCACAGCAACCTCAAACTCCTGGGCTCAAGCAATCCTCCTGCCTCAGCCTCCCGAGTAGCTGGGACTACAGGCATGTGCCACCATGCCCAGCTAATTTTTTCTATATATTTTTAGTTGTCCAATTAATTTCTTTCTTATTTTAGTAGAGACGGGGTCTCGCTCTTGCTCAGGCTGGTTTTGAACTCCTGAGCTCAAACAATCCGCCCGCCTCGGCCTCCCAGAGTGCTAGGATTACAGGCGTGAGCCACCGCGCCCGGCCTACCTCAGGATTTTGAGTATCATGATCTCTTAGGGCGTATGGTTTTTGAAGAACAAAGGATGTCACTTGAGGTGCTTTTTCAAATCACATTTGTAGCAATTACCAAAATTTGCGTCCCCCAACACATACACACACACAAACACACACACAAAGGCATAGGAAAATATTGGTGGGCAGTTATGTTTTTAATAACTTCCCAAGTTATTCTGACTTCAGCCTTTCTCTCCTTTTCTTTATTGATCTGCTATTTCCAAGAAAGGAGAAAAATGTTTGATTTATAGGAAATGTGATAAAAATTAATTTACTCACACATTGATTGTCAAGGTCTTTTGGACATTTTTGTTGATATGTCCTGAAGGAGTTTGAAATATGAGATATTTTAGAAGGGAGGTCTCTGAGAAGATGTAGATGGGAGATTATTTCAGTGAAAATGGCTATTAAAGCTATGTTATTATATTGCAGCAATTTTTAAATAAAATTCATTCCTTATTCCTTCCTTCCTTATTTTCTCCTTTCCCTCCCTGTTCCCTTCACTTTTTCTCTTCTTCCCTTTCTCACATAGTCAGGTGCCTAATATGTTTAGGAAATACAGTGATGAAATAAAACTTACGGGGTTCGTACATTTTCAGCACTTCCAGTCTAATTGGGGTAAAAATTGAGCAAATGTTACAGAGATAAATGTTGTTTTAATTCCAACCCAGGGAAATTTTAGCATGATATCTCACTTGCTTAAAAATGCATTGTTTCCTGAAAATTATAGGCTACTTGAAACTCTAAGTGTATTTTCCCATAGAAGCAATAATATAAAGATCTCATGCAATCCCATGAAGTTTTATTTAATCTAAAAATTGCTGAATATCTCTTTGTAACTTTGTTTTTGTGGGAAACTTTATTCTCCATGGTAATACTATAGATAACATAATATTGTAAGGTTGATAGGAATTGGTCTGAAAAGAAAAAGCTGAGAAGGGAATGGATCAGAGTTCTTGAACCATGTGGTTAGCCTAGCCCCACCTAGGGCCTACCCATCAAAAAAGATTAATAAGTTTTAGGTTCTATCATGAGTTTATATTCTGGTAAAGGAGATAAAACATGTAATGGTTGCAGCATAGTATAATATATCCAGTAATACATGTTTTTAGTAAGATATAAAAGTGGCATAGAGAGAATACTTAAGGATAAGAGGATCAAAGAAAACATCAAGAGAAAGGTGGCATCTCAGTATGACTTTGGACAATAAATAGTAATTTTTTTGATGAACCAATGGAACTAGAAAAAGGCATTCCTTAAGAGTTTGCAAGAAACAACATAGTCAGTTTCATGATAGATAAAGTAGTATGGTATTCTAAGGAGCAGAAAGTTTTCTATTTTGGGATGCTAAGAGAAAAGGAGTAGAAAATATTAGTTGTAGAAGAACAGGAGAAGTTAGGAAGTGATAAATACTGTTTAATGCCTTATAGGAATTAGTGATAGCATCTTGTAGGAAGGTGGGTAGTAGGATGGACATAAAACCTTAGGCTTACACATTCTATCTTTTAGATTTGAGGCAACCATGTTCAAGAATAGTTTCCTGATGGAAGTTTAATATTAAATTACTGTAATTACTTTTTCTCATTGTTCACTATTATCTTTACAGGGGCCTTCAGCTGTAGCGATGTCCAGTCCTTTCAAGATCACCAGTAATCTATCTTCTTTGATGGTTTTCTTTAAAGGATATTACATCACACACATTTTTTAAAATGGCAAATAGAGTTCTAAGAATGAGTCAAATATAAAACAACTTGGAAATTCCTAAGAAAGTGGGTTCCCAGTTAAATTGATGACTAAATTTTATATTTTCATCTAGGCAATTTGATTCACAATCCTTTGACTTGAGAAAGGATATTTTCATATTCTGTATATTCTAAGCAATACTACATATTTAAACTTTTTTAAAAATTTGATTTCATGTTTATATAATGTCTATTGGAATAAATTGTTTTAAGGAAAGACATACAAACTTCTCAGTAATAATTTATATGGACTTACTTTTTTCTTGATTCAGATTAGGTATGTACCTGGCCCTTTGTTCCCTTAAAGAATCATTTTGCTTAAATTTTTAGAAAGGAGTAGATAGCAGTTATTAGCAACATCCTTTGGTTGTTCTTAAATTAGCTTTGTTGACAAATTACAAATTCCCGTATTTCCCCTTTTTTTCCCACTTTGGCTTTCCACTAAGACAACAGATTCTTCTCTCAAATTGAAATACTTTTTCTTGGGAGAACACTTGCTATCCTATATAAATGGTCTCCTTCTTGGGTTTATTTTGTTATCCTGTAATAGGGTCTCCTACATTTTAAATTGTACCTTTTGTGTGTTTTAAATTTTATATTTAAATTTTTGCTTAAAGTTAGTGACTTTAGGTGAATAATAAAGATGTTGCTGAGGCAATTGTTTATTTTTTCACACAATGTTTCTCTATGAAGACCCTGAGGGTTAGAGTGAGAGACCTCACTAGTGTTATAGGAACAGTTGTCTTCTCTGGAACAGTTGATTTGCTTTCATCTCATGCTAGAGTTTTCAGTTATCTCAGTTATTGTAACTCATTTTTTCTAAAAAAAAAAATCATATCTTTGTTATCCACTTTTTTTATCTATCATTTGACTATTCTTTTACTAATTTTTTAAGAACAGAAACTAACTCTTTGTCCACAAAGGATTTAATCTTTATCCCTTTCCTCTGTTCTTGGCTATAGCCGATCATCATAGGCCACTCTTCTTACATTCTAAGAGTTTTCCAAGGTGATAGTTTAAGGGAAAAAGTAGATTATGAAGTTGACTATGAATGTCTCCCTGATTGAATTTTTAAAATATCATTCTTTATCGAGCTAACTACAGCAGGCTGCCTACTTATGAAAAAGTAATATTCAAAAGGTTTAGAAATTGAGCTTTGAAAGTCAGAATAGAGTTTTCCATAGAAGCAATATTATAAGTATGGGTTATGAAATCAAGCTAATCTACAGCATAGCAGCCTATAATATAAACTGTAATTAAACCAAAGATAATTGTAGTTAAATCGATATGGTAAAAGCTTGTGTTTCTTTTGCATGCAGGTACTTGTGAAAGACCCAGTGGGAGACTTATAGAAATTTTGAATGGATACTTTCAAGAGCCTTAAAGATTGATGATACTGTATCTATCATATCTAATTTAATTTTTAAAATATCAACTGAAACAAGACTTCTTTTAAATATGTTTCTTCAGATTTTTTGACAGCAATATTTGTACATTCTAAGAAAACAATCATTGAGATCAATAATTGGATCCCCTTCTCTTTGGAAAAGTCAGCAAACTAGCACTATTTTAAATGTAAATTTAAAAAGCAATAGTGCATATACTACTTTTACCAAAAATATGTGTTTAACACGATAACTGAATATGTCCTCTCTAAAGTTACATATTCTCTAAATTATATAGTATAAACTAAAACTTATATATAGCACACTATCATCTATAGGCAGTTTCGGTCTAATAAATAGGACTTATATACAATATAGGCTGGCCCACAGCAGTCATTTAATTTGTTCTGTTCTTGAAATAATGTACACTAATGTTAATATTTTAATCCATTTTTCATTATAAGAATATAATATTTTAGCCACATTAGGAGTTTTATACTTTTCCAATTAGCCTATAGGAGTTTATTAGAATTTTGCGAATATATATATGTTTACTATATTCTTTTGGGGGGAAGGCTGCTGAAAGGGATAAGAAGGGAAGAAGTTTTATGATGAGAACTGACTATGAAACCACTAAGATCATGTCTTTGCACTCCTTTTTTTCCTTTCTCTCCTGTCTCCATTGCCTCTGAGGAACCTAAGGTTCAGAACAGTTGGAGTGAGCAAGCTGAGGAATATAGGAGAAAGCTAAGCAAACAAGTTGAAAAATAAGTATGTGTGTGAGTAGGAAGCAGGACCTACAGAGGCAACTAGTTCCCTACTAGTTCCTTACATTATATTCCCTCAGTTCCTTACATTTCAGAAAATATCCCATCAAAGTTTAAAGCCTGTGTCTTTATTATTAGCACAGCTACCCTGTAGGTAGCAGGAACTTTGATTGGCCTAGATAGTACTGTTTCTCAGTGGGGTGCTCCTGCCCATGGTTGCTGGCTGGCAGCAACAGGGGCAGGGCTTCTTAGGGTATTCTGAAAGAAGTTAGTATAGAGTTAGATTATTGTTTGGATATTTGTAAATTTGGTATTTTAATTTATAAAATTGGGAGTGCTGAAATATAAAACTCAAATATAAATGCTGGTGACCAAAATACTGGAAGATTCTATTAGGAAATATTCTGGATTTCAGTCTGAAATCTCCATATTCTGAGTATAATAAGCCTTTAGTTTTATTTTAAATGTGTCATGCTTTTAATACTAATAATTAAAACCAACTAGAAAAAAACTTGCATATATGTAAGTTAAGACAATATTTTATAAGCCCAATACATCAGCCATACATGTTATTTTACCAGCACATGTTTTCAATCAGCCAATTCTTTACAGAATTAAACTGGCTTTCAAGTTTATGTTTTCTGATTTTCAAGGGATAATAAGAAGCATAATTTCAAGTGCCTTGTAGCATCGAAGGTGATTTAGTAATCAATTTGTTTTCATTTCAACTCTCTCATTGCTGTTTGTCTAGGGGATAGTGATCCTAGAAGAATGTCAACTTCCAAAAGACATCTTGAAAAAACAAATACAATTTGCAGACCAAGCAGCTTCGTTAAACACTACAGGGAATCCTCAGGTTCCCCAAGAGTGTCAAGATCCTTTACCAGAACAAGATTTTGAAATGTCACCAAGCAGCCCTACTTTACTTCTTCGAAACATAGAAAAACAGGTAACGTCAGAGTAGGGTGTCAGTGATATGAAATGACTTTTCATTGGTTTTATAAACTATTCAAATAAACATCATTATATGCGTGTCTTTCTGGAATATGGGTTATTGAAGTTGGCCATTTGACATTAAATGCAATTAAAATATTTGGTATATGACTGGTCTTTATTATAATATTGATTAATTAAAATTATATAAATATGTAAAGTATTGGTAAGATAACTATAGGGTGATAATCATTTACACTAGGGTTGGAAAATCTTTTTTCTAACAAACTTGCCTATCATTGGACTTTTTTCAAGGGGAGAGAACAATGGTAACAATTAAAAAACAGAATGGTTGTTTGACTAGTTTATTGATTGGGTTTTTAGTAAAGGATAATATTGGAATATGGGTTTCATCATAAAAAATGATTATGTAAATGGAAAGTCAAAGAAGCCTATAACAATTACTTTGCTTCCAAAGCCTTCCCTGGTATCTAAATCCTACTATGGATAACTCCTCAAGTTTAATTATTCTGGCCTATCTATCTTATATCTATCCTTTTAAATCAAACAATTTATTTTTATTTAGATTTTGGTGGCTTTTGAACAAACCTAGCTTTCTAGGAGTTTGTTGTTGTGACTAGACTGAGTCTGGCAGAGCATATCCATTCTTGACCATAGCTGCATGATTACATTGTTCCTCTAGGAAATGATAAAGATTCGTGCCTGCCTGCATCTAATTTTCCTGGATTTTTTTTAAATACCAGGAAATAATTAAATACAGGTTATTGTCTTATTCCTGGTAAATCAAAATATGATGTAATTTCTTCTACTACATATTTATTAAAATTACAATTGCCTAGGGTTTTCCTTACTTGGAATATGTAATCAAAACACCTTTATGAATATTTTGTAATTCAGAAAGTTATTTGGTAATCATCTGATGTGAAATTGTAATGCACTTTACTATATAAATGATGTTTTGAATTAGTTTTGGTTATATTCTCATATTCCCACTTCCTTCTTTCTTTTCCCTCCCCTCATCTCATAGGATCAATCCTCTTTCAGTTTGCCCCTACGTTGTTTCACAATGCAGGGTAATTTATTTGCTTATTCTGTCAAATCTACTTTCTTTACCTATAGGTCACTACTTATTCATTGGAAAATATAAGCTGATTAAACTAATTCTTCATACAGTACAATTCTAGAGGGATTTTCATTTCCAAAAGAGATTGCTTGTACCTTTTTCTTTCTCCTTGGAAACCTAGGTTTTTGGTTAGACTTGAGATAACTTAAGAACTATCTCATTTGTGGATCCCAGTGAAAAGTGAAATTGCTAAGTCCTTTGTTAAAAACAATTATTAAGAATTTTAAAGACAGTGACAGCAGAGCACTAAGCAAGCCTAGGACCATTCTCAGTGCAGCCTTACGCACAGGTCGCACACCAATGAAGCTGGCCCTGGTTAGCATTTTAGGTCTCATTGCTGATGGGAGTGTCAGAGGCTTTTGTAGTGTAGGGAAGGAATAGGAGTTGTGAGAGCAACAAAAATGGCTCGACATAGGGAGAGTAGAAGAAAAAGATGCAGAAAAGGGGAGCAGCAGTCACTTATAGAGGTTATTAATAAATTGCCTACAAATAGGTTATTTGCTCTTGAGATGTGGTGATACTACTTTTATAGGCCAATTTTTAAAAACTTAAGTTGTTTTCAGATACTTGTAGAGGAAGACAGTCTAGAAGTGAGTTAAGTGGTAAGGGTGGCAAGTCCATTATTGCACATAGTTTTCTTAAGATAATCTATTGATACATAACTGTTCACAGATAATCCTTTGACTTGATTAAAGTAGTTTTGTTAGAGTTGGAAGTTAAAATATAAAGGCACTATTAAGTTGTAGGCTGATAACATATTTAAAAAATAACCTATTGATTCGTAGTATTAATATGTGCTTGCATTGTTAGATAATATATTTTGCTCACAAATTGAAAAGTATCTTGTTTATAGTATTTTAGTTGATTTAAAATAAATTTCACTGCTGGTATATTTACTTTAAAAACCTTGTTAAGTATTTTGACTTAAAGTTGATTAGTTTTTGTTTTCAGAGTTCAAATTATGCTTCTCTAAATTTTACTTTTCTTTTTTGAATTTTTACTGTGAATTTCCTATCCCACATATAGACTCAGGTATATGAGATTTTACTGGGCCACTGTAGGCTGGTTATTAGGGTAAAGCTAGGGTTGTAATGGTGTCCTTCTGGGCCAATTATTCAAAAATACCTGACCAGCGACCTCCAGTGGCTTAAAAGATTTTAGATGTTTTTGGAGACGGAACAATGAGAAGAGAGTTTCAGTGTTTCACACTAGAAAATATGAGATACTTCATAAATTTAATTGTAAAATTAAACTAAGGAACACTTGCTAAATGGATGAAGAATATTTGTATTGATAATCTTGAAAATGAGCTTTAATCTAAAAAATTCTGAGTAATAATTTTTAAAATGAAGTCATTAGGTGCATATTATCTCAAGAAAATAAATGGTGAAAACATTTCAGGGTCTTTCTCATGAAAGACTTTTTGAAGGAATAAAATATCTGGCTTAATTCTATTATATTTAGTCTCATTATTTCTAGTAGCATATTATTAGTTTCATACAAATGAAGTGTCCAAATAATTATTTCATATATCCCTTTATTTTATAATAGAATATCTTACAGTCAATGAAAATGGCAAAATAGGTCTATATATATTTAAAATATAGTCACTATATTAAGTGAGAAAACCAGGTTTTATAAATTGTTGTGGCATGATTTAATTAAAAGTGTGTTTATGTGTTATACATACGCTCATGCTCATATATATATACTCCGAAAACTTAGTCTAGAGGGAGAAATATATACCAAAATATTGGCAGTGTTTTTTTCTTTGAAGTATGATTACAGTTGACTTTCTTTTAATCTTTTAAACTTCTCTATATTTTCTAGTTTTTCTACAGTGAACATGGATTACATGTATAATGAAAATAGTTGTCATTCTTTTGTAGAAATGTTCTATTTCCATTTATGTGGACCTTATTATATTTGTTATTGTTTTGAGAATAATTTAATATTTATTACATATATTTAAGTTTGGGATAATGGTCAATGAAATCTTAAGTGCCCAAGAAACCCTGATATTTTTGAATTAGGAAAACTATTGAGAAACAGTGTAGTGCTAGATTTAGACCTGAATTTGAATCCTACCTCCTTTTATTACCAACTATATAACCCTTGCTCAAACTCCTTAATCTTTCTTTCTTTGCTATAATTTACTAATCTGTATATAGTAATAATAATAGTGATATCAGAAGCTCTAATATTATCTACTTTGCAGGTTAGTTATACAGAGTGGAAATACTCTATGGTTGGTGCCTGGTATAGTTCCTCGCACATAGTAGGCACTTAATACTTTATAGCTATGATTTTTTAATTATTAAATTGGCTGCCTCAAGGAAAATATTATATATGCTATTAGCTGGGTTCCAATGTTTTAGATGATGAGATGGATAGGTAAAGGAACTATAATAAAAAAGGATATGGAAAAGGATGGGAACTTAAAATGTAGATTTGTTCATAATAAGTGGAAAAATTAGTTGTGTAAATCATCTTTGTAGACTAAAATATGTACTAAAATAAAAACATTTATATGTTTCATGAGAAGTTAAACACTTAATCGGTACTATAGGTCTGAGAGTTAACTCACATTTCTTGCTTAGCAGTAGTAAAAGGTTGACTGTTTCCTTGCAGAGTGCACAGTTGACTGAGATCATCAACAGTTTGATTGCCCCTCTCAACTTGTCCCCAACTTCATCACCCCTCTCCTCCAAATCCTGTAGCCAAAAATGTCTGGCTAATGGCATTTCCAGGAGGTAGGTATCAATGGGATAGTTTTGCTTTTAAATTTGGCTTTGTATTATTTTATTTTGTTTTGACCTTTTATGTATTATACTATTTTTTTCTTCTATGTTAAGGAGTACTACAGTACAGTCAATAGACCATGGGTAAATTTTTAGATAATATCAAACTTATATAATTAAAGTAACTATATACATAGAAATGAAGGAGAAAGCTTTCCAGGATGTTTTATAATATTTCTAAAAAAGAATAACAATGATAACATTTGCTATAGAAATACTACCTTATTTACTATACTTTCCACTTTGTATCTTTTGTGTTTTTGAGCTCCATGCTGTCCTTACAATGCATTTTGAGAGAAAATGACCCCAGATATAGTCTGGGGACAGAAGATTGGTAGATATCACCAATAAAATTCAGCATAAGGGCCAGGCATGGTGGCTCACATGTATAATCCCAGCACTTTGGGAGGCTGAGGCAGGAAGATTGCATGAGGCCAGGAGTTCAAGACCAGCCTGGGCAACAGAGCAAGACTTGATCTTTACAAAAAATAAAGATAAATTATCGAGCTGTGGTGCTGCATGCTTGTAGTCCTCGCTACTGGGGAGCCTGAGGCAGGAAGATTGCTTGAGCTCAGGAGTTCGAGGTTACAGTGAGCTGTGCTAGCATCACCACACTACAGCCTGGGTGACAGAGCAAGACTCTATCTCTGACAAAAA